TGTGATACCATACAAATGAGATCTCTGGTCAGGTAAGAACTCATCTGTGAGCTGGTTATCTCGACCTACAGCAATCACTCCATCCCTGAAAAATGACAAGAGGAAATAGTTTCATTGTTATTCAAAGGTCAATCTAAAACTTCAATCAATTTTGAGAGGCAAAAAAACATGATCTACAAAAAATTACCAATACATGATCTACTCAATGAAACTATGGTTCCTAATTTTACTACAGAGTACTACTGAAAGTGAATGGAACATGGAAATATAGATGTTTTACCTCCTCCAGTCTGTGAAGTAGTAGTGATTGGCAAAGGAGACCATGCTGAAAGGGTAGTTGAGGTTGCTTTGGATCACACGTCTGCCAGTCCCATTCGGAGATATACACTCCAGGCGTTTGGTTCCTGTCCATCACAAAACACTTGGGTATTCAGAGTGCGTTGTTTTGATTCCACGTTGTTTTCATATAGTGACTTGATAGAAGAATATGCCTTATTCCATCAACAAACCCAATCCAAAGGCAATTTTATTGCAGTTTCTTGTAGGTCATTGTACATACCAGCATCAGCCCAGCAGATCTGTCGAGTGGTAGAGTCATAGCTCAAAGCATTGGGCAAACCAATGCCTTCCTGGACAAGAACTCTACGGTTCTGACCATCCACAGAAGAGGTTTCGATTTTAGGAGCCTCCCTGTTCCAATCAGTCCAGAAGAGGCTTCTGTTTGGAGAAATAGTGTTCACTGGTGAGGACAGAAAACTAATGTGATTGGCTCTCTTAAAAAAAGCACAGCTTGGTGGCGCTCATGGACCAAACACTCTTTCGACAAGCTCTACTCACAAAGAAGCTAAATATCTGACTTGTCTTCAGCTTCTGATCACAGGGAGCATTATGAGGAACAGCACATGATTATAAGCAGCAGGAAAAAGTTGATTTGATGGAAAGGTATTTGAGTACTGAGAGAGGAGGTTAAACACGCATTATACACATTACACAATAAAGTCCTCACAAACAAAGTTAAGAAGAATTTTGAAGTTATAATTTTCAGAATTCACTTCCTTTTCTGAATAAGTAGCAGATTTTTATGAAATTTAAAATATACAACAGATATTAATACAATTGTGAAGTAAAGGATTCAGCTCTGCATGATCGCCTGTATAATCTTAAACCCCTGAGGGGAAATTCTGCATTGTTCCTTCAACTTATTCCCAGGAGCAGTGGTTTTCTTGCGCAAACAGTTTTGAATCATGCCAAATCTGAACATGCAGCACTAAATCCCCATAATATTCTGTTGTGTTGGATCTCTTGTGTGTCCTTCACACAGATGTTACACAAGCAGATGTTTTGCTTCTCCTAAGAGACAATGAAGCAACACATACATCTGGACCAGACTCCTGCACTCTCTCTCTTTCCTCTGACATCACTATATTCACACATCTTATAGTCCAAACCATAACTTTATGGAGATTTTTTTTAAGTAGGGCTGGTATGCCCATATTTCACTTATTTGTGCAGTCGTTCGGCACGCAACATACCCTGTCTGTGAATCCACGATCATGGCTCTGGGGTTTACCAAGTCCGTGTCAAACAGAACTCGTCTTTCACCTCCATCAAGGTTTGCCGTTTCGATCTTGTCTTGAGTGCTGTCCACCCAAAATATTCTCCTGCGGGACACATCCACAGCAAGACCTTCTGGACTTGTCAGAGCTGGGAAGATGAAACAAAAAAATCTGTTGGATTAAATCATGTAAAACTGGTCATTAAACAAAAAAAATTAACACAAGAATGTCTATACAGTGCATCTAGAAAGCCTTCACAAAACTCAAGTTTTCCTTTGTTTATTCTATAGCAAAATCAATGTAAACTGACAATATACTTCCCCATAATGGTCACATTAGTAAAAACGTTAAGAGTTTTCTCAAATTCCTTAACAATTAATCAAATTTACATAACCATTGAAAACCTTTCTATCAAGTTAAATCATTCACCTGTTATGAATTCGACATGATTTAGAAAGGCACGCACCTGTGTAGTGTAGGGTTACTTGGTTTACTGTCAGTGCACAAACTAAGCATGAAGACAAAGGAGTTGTCTTTAGAGCTGCATGGCAGGTTTGTGTTGTAGCACAAATTTGGAGAAGTGAAAGGTAGAACAAAACCTGCTGCTTTCAAGGCCCTAATGAGCACAGTCGCCTCCATCATCAATGAATGGAAGACATGTAGAACAGAGTTAATCAATCGGGTTTTAGTAAAGGAGGTGATCCAAGATCTGTTGGGTCTTCCGTCAAAGCTCCAGTGTACAGAAGCGATCAAAAGAACAACCAGCTTTTAATCCACCAATCAAGAATGTATGCTAGAGTGGCAAAACAGAAGCCTCTATTTAGTAAAAAGGCAAATGGCAGCCATCTGGAGTTTGCCAAAAGGCCACCTGGACATAACGTTATGGTCTGATCAGACAAACCAAAGAAAAACAAAATAATAAATATCAGGTAACATGTTCGGAGGAAACCAGGTCGACGTCATCCATGCAGTGAAGCGTGGGGATGACTGCTCCATGCTTTGACGGGTATTTGTTCAACAGCAAGAACTGGGAGAATGGTCAGGATTCAGATGAATGCAACATGGATGACCTTAGGCTGGAGCAGTTGTTCGGCAGGACAATAACCCTAAGCGCACAGCCAATAAATTAAAGGAAGAACCAGAGACCAAACTTGAATTCTTTCCGATGTGGCTCATCCAACTTAATAGAGAAGAATGGTAGGACTTAAGGTCAAGAATCAAGCCAGTGTTGCAAAGCACAAAATTATCAAAAATAAATATAATCCAGGTACTAAAAACACGCATTACCTGTGTTGATGATGATCTCTGGCTCTGACCCTGGGTCCAAGCTGGCTCGATTGATGGTCCGTCCTGCCAGGTCTGTCCAGTAAACTTTTCTCTCTCTGCAGTCATAATCAATGCCCACCACTATGGATCCCTGAAAGATTGATGGGAGAAAGTTAGTTTCCCCACAACCCCAGAGGTCAGTGCCCAACCAACAGTAAGTCTCACGTGTAGAGCAAGTAGCACTGAAGATCTCTGCTTGTCCATTTGTGTGCCATTCAGAGGCAGAACTCCAATCTGCTGACCCTGGGCATAGAGCAAGGATGTGCCTGTAGGGGGTGGAGTCACATCTGGGCGTGGCAGAGGGCGCATTGAGGGAGGGGCTACAGTAGGTATGCCTGCAATATGAAATTTGCTTGAAAATCCAGATTTTTATATCCAAACATTATATGAACAAAATTACATAAACAGGAAATGAGCTTCAGGTAAATTGTTGGGAGGGTTCCAAAACTAAAAACGGGTAACGGCGTAGATTGTGGGATCATTTGACATTTAACAAGTGGAGGGTGATTTAAAATCAGTTTTTTTATAGGACAAACTGTTCCTGCAGATATCAATCCCAAACACTCACATGCAGGCTTGACAGCATCATGTGAACGGGTTCCAGGAACTTCCCGACCATTTTGGTCCACACACCAGCAGTAGCTGCTGTCTCCATAGCACTGAACTGGGTTGAACTCGCCGGAAGAGTCACACTGAGGAAGATAATGGTGGGAATCTGGCTGGCCTCCATACTGCTGCAGCAGACTGGCCCTCCACCGCTCACAGACAGTCTCCGGACGCTCACTAGGACGGACTAACACTAGTACAGAGGAGTACAAAAATCTGTAATGCACTATTTCGGACAAATTTTAATATATTAAGATATATATTAATATATGACGTAATTAAAGAGCGAAAGTTTTGGTTGGAGACTCATTCCCTTAAGATGGGGTCGACTAGAAATGTGTCTTTCTGTTTATTTTGAATCTTCTGTTTATATCTTATTCAATATAAAAACTTATTGCATTGGCTACGATGAGGAATCAAAATGAGTCATGAGATTCTGAATCCAAATATATGTTTTACTCTAAGAATCATTGGAAAAAATATTTGAATACAGAATTAAGTAGTTCTTGATGTCCAAAACACAGAAGTTCCCACATACAACATGTAATATTCAAAGACAAATCAATTCAAAGTATTTTCAGGGAAGTCTACCCAAGTGGGAGGCATATGTAGCTGTGTTGAGAAGTGGGCACATTCACTCACAGTGTTGACATTGACTGAACTCAATGCCCTTATTTGTCTTCCTGCTGTATAATCTGGACAAACCCCAGACAAATTGAGACTCTGCTCTCAATCACAAATTAACGCGAATACTAACATACAAATAAAAGTACTTCACAATTTAGAAAGCCACATTTTCCAGTAACATTACACCACTAAAACTAGATACTGGAGGACGTTAGCACTAGAATTAAGCTCAATAGGCTTTATAATCCAATTTGTTCATGTTTAAACAATAACAAGAACACTGAGAATGGGTCACATCGAAGGCTAATTAGAAGAAGGTGGTTGAATAGAGCTTTCCTACCAGGCTGATCACAGTTAACCCTTGGGCTCCCAGGTGGAGTACGGGTTCCCTCTCTCTCCTGCCCCCTATTGTCCACACACCAGCAGTGACCGGTGGAGCCATGACACTGCAGCGGCCGGTACTGACCCTCCTCATCACATTGGGGAATGAAGGCACCAACCAAAGGACCTCCAGCTCCTCCACTTTGAAGGCTGTCCCTGTGCTGCTGACACTGAGTCTTGGGACGCACTAGAGGATCACCAGTTAGAATAATTGTTAGCTGAGAACAATTTCTAAACACTAAACACTAATATTTTCTAGGTGTTTACATGAGAATTAAAATTCATTTTGGAAGTGAATAGGCCTCGTTTGACTTTGTATTAAACAAATTCAGACCATTTTATAACATGTGTTGTGATAAGTGATGTACAATATGTTATGCGATACTGTGTTATTTTGTGCTCGCAGTGTAATCCTTGACACCCCCCCCCCCCCCCACATTTAAGTACAATTTAAAATCTAAATTTATATTATTTTATAAAATCCATACTGGAGGTGATTGGTGGTGTTGCATGTCCAAGCTCAGTTGGTAGAGCATTGCGCTAACAACACATAGATCCCGGGTTCAAAACATAGAGAAATAAAGAACTGACAATTAAAAAAAAAGTGTTAATTCATTTGAATGTAAGTCGCTTTGGATAAAAGCGCCTGGTAAATGCATAAGTGTAAATGTACACTCACATTGTGTTGATTGGAACTAACAGACAATTTATTCCAAAGACCAATGGCTCCCTGAGCCCATAACTTGTTACTACGTTTTCCTCTGATAGGTATATATTGCCCACTAAAAAGTGTATTGTGGGCGGGAATGAATAATGTAAGAGTGTAGTAAGATTTGAATTTGTAAAAACCTTTAAACCTAATCAACTGGGTAATAAAAAGGTAATAATGGAATAAATATTACATTTTACACTGAAACCAAACCAAAGTAAAGAAAAAAAAATCAAGAAGCCCTAAAAAATAATAAAATGAACCTATATTCTAAAAGACATGTTTCTATTTATTACCCGGCTCATCACAGTTGACTCTTGGGCTCCCAGGAGGGGTTCGGGTCCCAGCTCTCTCCTGCCCCCTACTGTCCACACACCAGCAGTGACCGGTGGAGCTGTGACACTGCAGTGGCCGGTACTGACCCTCCTCATCACACTGAGGGATGAATGCACCCACCACAGGAACTTCACGATCTCCTCGACTCTGAATACTGTCTCTGTGCTGCTCACACTCAGACTTGGGGCGCTCTGTTGGCGAAACAAGAAAAAAAAAAAAGATTGATTGATCCCCCCCATCAACAAGAAAGTACGTCATTAGTTCCTTATTCAATGATCAGAGACAATGCCCACTTGCCCCCTTTAGGGAAGACGAGGAAAAGGAATTCCATTTAATAAAAAAGAATAAAAAAGAAAACCCTGGGCTCATGACCTTTAAGGCAGTGATCCCCAATCCCCAGTCAGTGTATCAATTGGCATCGGGCAAGAAAACTTACCAAAAGCTAACAGAATGCGCAAGAAACAGATGTCTTTGGAAGGTTTTAATATGTGGCAGCCAGCTCTCCAATGAAGCATATTTTGAGCATGAAAACAAATGCCAGCGTTAAATGTGTCCGCAGCATGAAAAAGGTTTGGGGACAACTGCTTTATTGCATAATTATGCACTGACAGTTTTAAAATTAACTGTAAAACCAGCAAGTACCAAATAATATTAATAATAAAAACTAGATGGCTAAAGTTTCCTTGCAAAGTTTGATGTTTCCGTTTAAAACATTTTCTTTTAAATGTTGCCAATGCCACAGCAAGTAACATGACCCAACCCCCGTGTATCTATGATTTCCTAAGTTGAGATAGAGATATGCCAAATGGTTGCTATGGTAAATAGCTTGGTTGGTATGGAGGGGCTAGTGACATAATAAAATTATCCTTTTTGACTCTAGGCTATATAAATCAAGCCCCATGTCTCAATCATTTTCCAAACTGAGATAGAGTTCTAAGAACTTGGTTGCTATGGAGTGGTTTATGATGTCAAAATAAATAATTTTTCAAATGATTGAACATAAAAATACTTTTGCTCAATGCTTGGTATGCTCTCAATCTCCACAAGTGTGATGAGTGAAGTTTCTATGAGTTTCGATCAAGTTTGTTTTACAGCTTTGCAAAGTTTGACCCCCATATAATGTCAATAGAAGATTTCCCATAATTCATGGGGATTTCCCAGAATTCCTTTAGTGATGCAAGTCTAAAAAAATATAGCAACTCGAGTTAGAACACCTTGAAGGTTTGGTTTTAGGTTTACCAGGCCAGAAGGTTTCTGAAATCTGTCTTCAATGAAACATAATAACAACACATTTTATTCAAGTAGACTTTTGATGACCTCTTACAACAAGCAGCAACAGAAAAAATCAGAAATAAACAAACACATTATTATACTAGAGAACAGACCCGCTCATAAATGACATGAAGAAATTAATTCATACAAGGATTTTACTGAAAGTCAATAGAAGTCAAAAAGAATGGGTGTGATGTGACTGAAGCAAGCTGTTGGGGCAAATTCTATAGAACGTGTTTAGAAACTAGACAAAAATAAATGTACATAAGTGGACATCCCTCCACTTCCCCATTGCTTACCAGGCTCATCACAGTTTCTTGGTAAGGACCCAGGTGGAGTTCTGGTCCCAGCTCTCTCCTGCCCCCTATTATCCACACACCAGCAGTGACCGGTGGAGCCGTGGCATTGCAGTGATCGGTACTGACCCTCTTCATCACACTGAGGGATGAATGCGCCAGCTACAGAAATGCCAGCACCTCCGCTCTGAAGACTGTCTCTGTGATGCTCACAATGAGTTTTGGGGCGACCTTGAATAAACCCGATACTGTAACATGTGAATCAATCCAACAGGACTGGCAACAAATTTGAAACAACTACCATTCTGAGGGTGGCACTGGAAACCATCTCCATGGAATCCCGGTTGGCACTGGCATTGGAAAGATCCTGGACTGTTCATGCACAAGGCCTGGGCGTGACATGGCTGCTCATGACACTCATCCACATCTGCAAAACACACAAACACCACACAGTGACTTCAGAGTTCTGCAAACACAGCATTAAGTGCATTCCTCAGGATGTCAGTGTGAGTCATTCTAGCTGCTGGCTCCAAGCTCCCACCATCCTGCTGCAGAGAACAGAGGAAAAGAGTTAACAGTCCTCTGACCCCCATATTGTATGTTCTTTCGCTGTGAGTCTCCTACGCGCATTCCCAGAGTGAGGACATTGGGTCATTGTTTCTGGAAGTCCTACCATCCCCAGAGTCTCTAGTTACCCACCTTGCCTCTCTTCACCTAAAGCACTCTGCTCAGCCTGATAACTTCTTTCCCAGCAGTTACTTTGGGCTACCAGTGCTAATGACATTAAGGGGACATCACATTACCTTTTTTTACAGGGTGAAATGACTTGTATATTTAGAAAAAGTATGTAAAATGTGACATTACTAAATTAAATCATTGACAAAGTTTTGCCAAACTAGTTTCAGGTGGAGACTGAGACGTTCAGACCAATTAATAGCTCTACATAAGCATCCTTCTTTTCTGACATAATTACATGTTTTATTATGAGCCAGAAAGAGCCAGTTATGACAGAGCAGTAAAACACTAAAATGAACATTTTTTGTTCATATTTCACAAAGTACAACAATAAGTACTATATTTATTACCTGTAACTTGTATTGAAAAATGACGCACAAATGCATATGTCATTGACTTTTTCAATGGCCATTTTCAACTCAATGGTAATTTTCTAGAGTCTAGGGTTCAAACACTTTTTCACAATGCTTGCAATGTTATTGCACAATGTGATAACCTCCACAGATGTGGTGAGTATGAAGTTTCCGTGAGTTTCTCAGTTTGAGTTACAGTTTTACAAAGTTTAATATCATGTTATGGAAAAGTTCCCAGCATTCTCAGTGATTTCCGAGAAGTTCCTTAGTGGGGATGCCTTGGTAAAGTTTGGTGGCTGTAGCTAGAACAGTCCAAGAGGAGATTCATTTAGAATTTTTTGTCCAAAGCGAAAAACAATATGTTGGCTTTGAAATTAAAACAAGACTTAAAACTTTCTGTTTAAGACACAGGAAATGAAAAAGTCCCATACCCTGACAGGTGCGTCCATCAAATCCAAACTGGAATCCACTCTCACACACACAGCGATGGCTTCCTGGCAGGTTCACACAGTGCGAGTGAGCACTGCAAGAGCTCAGACCTTCTGCGCACTCATCCACATCTATAAAAGTGAGAGAGAGAGAGAGAGACACAAAGAGAGAACCTGCTCAATTTCAACTGGTACTTCTGTTATAGTCGTTGGGTGTCAAAAATAAAGTGCAGGATGTGTAATGTGAGTGATACAAATCTATGAGATACGGATGAGTTAAAAGCCTGTCTTGAGATCTCTGCAAATGAGAGAGCAATCTGGTCCCTGTCGGAGTGCGTGGGAACAGGCCCGAGGCTGTGGGTGGGTTCAGAGTTGGTCAGCAGGAGACCTGGTTTTGATCACTGCTAATTACAGAGAGGGGAAGAGCCCACGGTCCCCCTTGCTCTCTTCATTTTTCCTCTGCACTCTTTGTGTGACCCCCTGATTATCTACTCAGGAGTGAAGAGTTCAGACAGGTGATAAAATTAACCTCTAATAGGAACATGATGCCTGAGAACACACCCGTGCACAAGCACGCACACGTAATCAAGGACAGACACACTGCTCTTTAAATGAGTTCATCCAGATCTGCTCTAAAGCACATTTTCTGGTATAAAGAGATTTTTAAATATTTTAGTTTTAAAAGAACAATTTCACTAATTGTTCTTGGTTATAAGAGTTGCCCGCATAGTTTAGAGTAGTCTTTTCCCATCCCATCCCCAGTCTTTCTCTCTAACTGTACCTTTCTCTCTGTTGTTCTTCTCAGTCAAGACTTGAAAAATGATAATAAAGTACATGGCCTGAGAAAATTGTATTTAAAAAAATAAATATGATTTATAGTATTAAAATTCTTGTTTTTGTTATACATTTATAAGAAACTAACAGTGCTCAAATGCACAGTCAGAGACTGTTGGAGAGCTTACACAAAACAAACTAAACAAATAAAACCTTTCACTGAATGACAGATTGGTTGAAAAAATTCCATGTCCAGGAATTTAAACATTAAAACATAATTCAGGAATTGTCAGTGAGGAATCAGTTTTTATGGACTTTCTATATTATATACATAGTCTTTAAATATTATACATATTTTTTGTTTAACCCAGTATTTTCGGTAACCACTCTTCAGCCACAGAAGACCACCACCTTTTGGCCCAATAGTAGAAAATAGTTTGAAAACTCCTGTTCTAAAGAAAAAAAACTAACTATAAAATATTGTAATAATATTTGGTATTGTCCATGCATTTATATACATTTATGGCTCAATAGACAGGTGAGGGTTGGTCTGCAGAGGGCGTGGTGAAAGAATTAAGGAAAGAGGAATACAAGGTCATCCAAAGAAGTTTTTTACGATTAATATTGTTCTTAGAAAAGCTAGTACAGTGGCTCAAAATATTTATCATAAATGCTGTAA